TTTTTTTTTTTTTTTTTTTTTTTTTTTTTTTTTTTTTTTTTGGGGGGGGGGGGGGGGGGGGCGGGTAGTTAATAGTGGTTGCAAATCGACGTGACTAAAAACCCGAATCCCGACCCGCTCAGGCGGGGGATGCTCACCGGTCTGGAAGATCTGGAAGAGAAGGCGGGGCTGGGAGGCGCGGATGGCCGCGGACAGCCTTCCCTCTCTGCCCACTTCCGACGCCTTCTTCTCGGGCATCAGGCGGATCCTCAGCCGCCCCTCGCCGTGGAGAACCCACCAGCTGAACAGCTCGCTGAGGTTGAACTGGAGCAGTTCCGCAGCCGCCTCCTCGGGGGGCCCGACACAGCCCTCAAAGATCGCCTCCTCGCCCAGCTCCAGGACCAGCTGTTTGGCGCGCCGAAGCTTGCGAACCGAGCCGCCCTTCAGCACCCTGGACAGCGTCCGGGCCGCGGCTGGGGCCGGCGAGCTGGCGCCTGCTGTCCAGGAGACCCCGGGCGGCGGCCCGAGTAGCTCGAGCAGCGGGGCGCAGTCGAGAGCCAGCGAGCCGCTCGCCTCCGGACTGCCAGCCCTCGGCTCCGAGGGGGACGGCGGCAGCAGCAGGTCCCGGGCGTAGACACGGAAGAGCGAGGGCACCACGAAGTCCACGGCCAGACTCTTCCTCTGCAGGCGTGAATAGCTGAGAGGCTCCCGGTGCTGCAGCGGCGGCCCCACGACCCGCGAGCCCGCGCGCTGGCCAGTCCCGGTCCCGGAGCCCGAGGCTGCCGCCGAAAGCAGCGGCGGCAGCAGCCACAGGAGCTCGATGGATCCCATCCCGCCGGAGGACGGCTGTTCGGACTGGTCTCCCGGGGGCCCTTCGCTTCCCCCCAAATGGGAAGGGGCTCCACGCGGTCCTTGGCTTTGAACGACCCCTTCCACCTGATCTCTGGGGGATTGTGTGTTCACTCTGTTCTCTTTCTTTCCCCCACCTGCAAGGAGGCTGAGTAAAACGGAGCTGGAAGCTAGGGGTGAGTCTAGAGACCCCGAAGCTTACTGTGTGCCACAGCTGGGACACTGTGCCTGTCGCTCGCAGCGCCGGGTGCCGCGCCCCCGTCTGTAGCTCGCTGCGCTCCGGAAAGAGAGACACTACTACGGTTGAAGGGCGGTGGCAATTGGGGACCGTTTTCTTCTGGCCCCCGCAGCCGGAGCTGGGGTCTGTCCGTCCTCTGGGCGGCCTCCAGTCCCCCGCAACTTTCCAGGCTGGGAACGGTGGCTCCGAGCTGGTGCCCGCTGTCCTGGCTGCCTCCTGCGTTGCTTTCGGCTCCTCTGAGAGCCTCCCCCTGGTCCGGGCAGAAATCGAGGGCGGAAGCTGTTTTCTCGCGTCCCCTCAAGCGACCCTCCGCTGCGGGGAGACTTTGGACTGCATTGCCCCCTGAACTTCTGGGCGTGGATCGGGGCCCCGGCGCTGCGGAGCGGAGGCTCAGGTCGCCGCAGCGCAAGTTTGCAGCGTCCTTGCTTTCGCCCGCGTTGTGGCTCCACGGAGTTCGCAGGCACCAGAGCGGCCCCGGCGGCAGCCGCGGAGTGAAAGCGCTCAGGGCAGAGGAGCCCGAGATCTTGCTGCCCGCTCCTCACCCATCGGCAGCGCCTGCGGCTTCGGGTGGTCAGCCAGAGGACTGCCGGAAGGCGCGTCGGTGCCCCGGGAGCCTCCGGACAGCGGCGGCGGGAGGTGCCAGCTGCCACGGCCGCTGCCGCCCCCGAAGCCTCTGGATCGCATCTGCCGGGGCGCCCGCCACTAGCAG